CTCCCTCTACCTTTGCCACACCTTAGCCATGAGCCGCAATGACCGCTTGACGGACGCATTCACTGGCAGCGCTGAAGGCCAGACGCCACGCAGGCACCAAAGCCTTTGGCACCAGCGCCGCTGCCTGAGTCGAAATCACTGCGTCTGGATCTTTGTTGTCTATGTTCTTTCAGGCATCTTCCTTGGGGTAAGCAAGTTACAAACTGGCAGAAACTGATAGCACCTACAATCGTCAATTCGTCGTCCTCGCCTTTGCAGCAGCCTCCCGCTGCCGGTGCACGGCTCTGAGGAACTCTTTGTCCTCGCCTGAGGTGCCAAATATGCGCCGATTTCTGTTGGCGAAGTCAATTAGTTTTACGTTTTGCGCCGGGCCACGGCTCCGTCGAGCCAGCTCGCTCCGGGCAGCTTTGGCCCGGGCCTGCACAGAAGTTTGCCACGGTGATGATGTTCATTGACTGTCTTTTCCAACATTGAATCTGAACAGGGGGTCATTGCTGACACGATGTGAGGTCATCGAATGATAATCAACTTTCCATAAAATTTTGCGAAAGTAGCTGCATTCTTGTTACGGCTAGCTTGCCTATAGTGGCCCATCACACCACGAAAAGTCCACGAATAGCCTGTCATATTGAACCCTCTCTGACCCTCTCACCGCCTTCGCGGCGGTCTCTCGGGCCACGTGCTCCTTGCGGCGCCTCTCCCTTCTCGCACCGACTGGGTTGCGTTGGACCTGCGGACATGGCTACAAACAAAAGTTCCAGCTCTCATTTCTCCCGACGTAGTAAGAAGTGCCTTCGAAAGAAGCGTCACTAACGCGTTGCAAAAGTGTCATATGAGCATGGAGGTGGCTCTCAAGGCACGCTGGATGTGTGAACATATGTTTTTGCAGCAGCAACAGCAGCAGCAGCAGCAAGTCCTGCCAGGGAAGAAGCTGAACTTACTCTGCTGGTGCACTTACGTTCTTGGCCGCTACAGTAGGGATAGATATATTGCGCTAGTAAATGAGATTATGTCAAGTACCACTTGGGGCGCCACTTCCTGGACAGCTGGACGACACGGGAAACGATTTAAAAGGGCGGCAATCCCGTCGATCTTTGCACGCCTAGAAAATGTAAACGGCGCAAGCATTAGACAAGCGTTGGAGACCTTACACCTACAAGTCGACGATGGCGAGCGCATGCGACATGATGCTTCGGAGCATCGCCGCAAGGTGCACGAAGAGCGCTGACAAGAATGGGCGAACAATCTATAGTAATCTGGGGTGGATGAAGGTCATTGT